GGAGTCCAGGAGAGCTGGCTGTATTTTAAAGAATCCTTATTGAGGTTGCAGGAACAAACCATCCCAATGTGTAGAAAGAATAGTAAATATGGCAGGTGACCAGCTTGGCTTAACAGTGAAATCCTTGCTGACCTTAAACGCAAAAAAGAAGCTTACAAGAAGTGGAAGATTGGACAAATGACCAGGGAGGAGCATAAAAATATTGCTCAGGCATGCAGGAGTGAAATCAGGAAGGCCAAATCACACTTGGAGTTGCAGCTAGCAAGAGATGTTAAGAGTAACAAGAAGGGTTTCTTCAGGTATGGTAGCAACAAGAAGAAAGTCAAGGAAAGTGTGGGCCTCTTACTGAATGAGGGAGGCAACCTAGTGACAGAGGATGTGGAAAAAGCTAATTTACTCAATGCTTTTTTTGCCCCTGTCTTCAAGAACAAGGTCAACTCCCAGACTGCTACACTGGGCAGCACAGCATGGCGAGGAGGTGACCAGTCCTCTGTGGAGAAAGAAGTGGTTCGGGACTATTTAGAAAAGCTGGATGAGCACAAATCCATGGGGCTGGATGCGCTGTATCCGAGGGTGCTAAAGGAGTTGGTGGATGTGATTGCAGAGCCATTGGCCGTTATCTTTGAAAAATCATGGAGATCGGAGGAGGTCCCGGATGACTGGAAAAAGGCTAATGTAGTGCCCATCTTTAAAAAAGGGAAGAAGGAAGATCCAGGGAACTACAGGCCAGTCAGCCTCACCTCAGTCCCTGGAAAAATCATGGAATCAATTCTGAAGCACTTAGAGGAGAGGAAAGTGATCAGGAACAGGATTCACAAGGGCAAGTCATGCCTGACTAACCTAATTGCCTTCTATGATGAGATAACTGGGTCTGTGGATGAGGGGAAAGCAGTGGATGTGTTATTCCTTGACTTTAGCAAAGCTTTTTTGCCGGCAAGTTAAAGAAGTGTGGACTGGATGAATGGACTATAAGGTGGATAGAAAGCTGGCTAGATCATCAGGCTCAAAGGGTAGTGATCAATGGCTCCATGTCTAGTTGGCAGCCGGTTTCAAGCGGAGTGCCCCAAGGGTCGGTCCTGGGGCCGGTTTTGTTCAATATCTTCATTAATGATCTGGAGGATGGCGTGGACTGCACTCTCAGCAAGATGACACTAAACTGGAGGAGTGGTAGATACGCTGGAGGGTAGGGATAGGATACAGAGGGACCTAGACAAATTAGAGGATTGGGTCAAAAGAAACCTGATGAGGTTCAACAAGGACAAGTGCAGAGTCCTGCACTTAGGACGGAAGAATCCCATACACTGCTACAGACTAGGGACCGAGTGGCTAGGCAGCAGTTCTGCAGAAAAGGACCTAGGGGTTACAGTGGACGAGAAGCTGGATATGAGTCGACAGTGTGCCCTTGTTGCCAAGAAGGTTAAAGGCATTTTGGGCTGTATAAGTAGGGGCACTGCCAGCAGATCGAGGGACGTGATCATTCCCCTCTATTCGACAATGGTGAGGCCTCATCTGGAGTACTGTGTTGTTTTGGGCTCCACACTGCAAGAAGGATGTGGAAAAATTGGAAAGAGCAACAAAAATGATTAATTTCAGAGTAGCACCCGTGTTAGTCTGTATCTGCAAAAAGAACAGGAGTACTTGTGGCACCTTAGAGACTAACAAATTTATTTGAGCATAAGCTTTCGTGGGCTACAGCCCACTTCTTCGGATGCACAGTTCTTGGGAGACAGACCTGTCCTTGCTTACAGACAACCCCACAACTTGAAGCAAATATCACCAGCCACCACACACCACTGAACAAAAACACTGACCCAGGAACCTATCCTTGCAACAAAGCGCGATGCCAACTCTGTCCACATATCTATTCAAGTGACATCATCATAGGACCTAATCACATCAGCCATGCCATCAGGGGCTCGTTCACCTGCACATCTACCAATGTGATATATGCCATCATGTGCCAGCAATGCCCCTCTGCCATGTACATTGGCCAAACTGGACAGTCTCTACGCAAAAGAATACATGGACACAAATCTGACATCTGGAATCATAACATTCAAAAACCAGTAGGAGAACACTTTAACCTGTCTGGTCACTCAATAACAGACCTGAGGGTGGCAATTTTGCAACAGAAAACTTCAAAAACACTCCAACGAGAAACTGCTGAACTTGAATTGATATGCAAACTAGATACAATCAATTTAGGCTTGAATAGAGATTGGGAATGGCTGAGCCATTAAAAAAATAGAATCAATCACCCCATGTAAGTATTCTCACACTTCTTATCAAACTGTCTGTACTGAGCTATCTTGATTATCACTTCAAAAGTTTTTTTTCTCTTACTTAATTGGCCTCTCAGACTTGGTAAGACAGCTCCCACCTTTTCATGCTCTCTGTATGTGTATATATAATTCCTCAATATATGTTCCCTTCTATGCATCCGAAGTAGTTGGCGGTAGCCCACGAAAGCTTATGCTCAAATAAATTTGTTAGTCTCTAAGGTGCCAAAAATGATTAGGGGGCTGGAGCACATGACTTATGAGGAGAGGCTGAGGGAACTGGGATTGTTTAGTCTGCAGAAGAGAAGAATGAGGGGGGATTTGATAGCTGCTTTCAACTACCTGAAAGGGGGTTCCAAAGAGGATGGATCTAGACTGTTCTCAGTGGTACCAGATGACAGAACAAGGAGTAATGGTCTCAAGTTGCAGTGTGGGAGGTTTAGGTTGGATATTAGGACAAACTTTTTCACTAGGAGGGTGGTGAAGCACTGGAATGGGTTACTGAGGGAAGTGGTGGAATCTCCTTCCTTAGAGGTTTTTAAGGTCAGGCTTGACAAAGCCCTGGTTGGGATGATTTAGTTGGGGTTGGTCCTGCTTTGAGCTGGGGGTTGGACTAGATGACCTCCTGAGGTCCCTCAGAACCCTGTTGGGAAGGGGTTCCTTCCCCCAAAGCCTTTTTTTGGCTGTTACAGCCTTCTCAGGAGTTTCCCAGTATCATCAAACCCAGCCATTCAAAGCTCTTGAGTCAACCCCCCCAAAATGATGAGATTTTAAAAACTACGATTTTTTAAAAATAAATTTGGTGTGTGTTTTATTTGCCTTCTGGTTTCTGTGCTGTTGGGGGCACCTGCTTCACATTTTGAAGCTTTTCCTGCAACCAGGAGGGCTAGAATGTTTTTTTTAAATGAAAGCTGAGATACTCACACAATCTTCAATGCCAGCAGCTGGAGCTTTAAGAACAGCCCCAAATATGACAAGACTTGTGACAAAATCTCAGGAGTTGGCCACACTGGTTCCCCTCTGGAGCTGCAGCTTCCTGGCTGCAGGAAGGGCAGATTTCTCTGGATTTCCAACAAATCGGTTCCATGCTAAGTAAAAAGAAAAGTCCTTTTCCCCCAGAGGATCCTCTCACCGGCAGGGTGGCCACGGAGGCGGTCAGGACAGTCCCCACACAGGCTCTGTCACTGTGGAGATCGCCCACAGGCCGGGGTCCTTCGAAGGGCGAGCGGGAGCCGAACGGCTGTTTCGCACGAGCCTCGGTCTGGAACTACACTTCCCAGTGGCCTTTGCGGGAGCAGCCTTTCCCTTCGGTCTGTGTGAGGCGTGAGACTACACTTCCCAGTGGCCTTTGTGGGAGCAGACTTCCCCTTCGGTCTGTGTGAGGCGTGAGACTACACTTCCCAGTGGCCTTTGCGGGAGCAGCCTTTTCCTTCGGTATGTGTGAGGCGTGAGACTACACTTCCCAGTGGCCTTTGCGGGAGCAGACTTCCCCTTCGGTCTGTGTGAGGCGTGAGACTACACTTCCCAGTGGCCTTTGCGGGAGCAGCCTTTCCCTTCGGTCGGTGAGAGGAGTGGGACTACACTTCCCAGTGGCCTTTGTGGGAGCAGACTTCCCCTTCGGTCGGTGAGAGGAGCGGAACTACACTTCCCAGGGGGGTTGCGGAGCTCGCTGGGCGCGTGGAACCAGTCGGCGGCTGGTTTCAAGTCCCAGGATGATTCACGAGCTGCTCTTGGCGCTGAGCGGGTATCCCGGGGCCGCGTTCACCTGGAGCAAGAGGAGCGGCCTCCAGGTACCACCCGGACCGGGCCTCCGTCCCCCCATTACCCCGTGCTCAGGCCTTGCGCTCACCCGGCTTCTCTTCTCCGCAGGTGTCCCAGGAGCTGCCGTTCCTGCACCCCAGCGAGAGCAGCGTCCTCAATCGGCTCTGCCGCCTCGGCACCGACTACATTCGCTTCACCGAGTTCATCGAGCAGTACACGGGCCACGTGCAACAGCAGGTGCGGGCGGGCCGAGGGGCTGAGTTCTCCCTTCCCCTCCGGGCGCATGGAGAGCCCCCGGGGGAAGGCCGCGCTCCTTCTCCATCCCCTGAGCCCTCAGTGGCGTCAGGACTCAGCGCCCTGCGGGGTGTGTGTGTGTGGGGGGGGGAGTGGCCCCTACCTCTCGCACCGGTCTGGATGTGCCTGTAATTAAACTCCATAATGCATTGATTATTGCGTATAAAATGTGAGGCCTACTCCAGAGGCTTATTAACTTGTTACCCTACTAGAAAATAGTCCTTCAGTTTGCTAATGTGCAATAAACAAACATATCACATTGTGTCTCCAGAAAGATCTGCCCAATGAGAAAGACAAAGCCCACTTCAGCACTTCCCTGAGCATCTGACCTCTCATTTGAAGTCAGTGGGTGGTGCTTGTACCAGGGCTGAATTAGGTCTTAAGCCTCCAAACTGAAAGGATAGAGAAACACTTATGGCTAAACTAATTTTTCAAAGCAAAATCTATTAACTAAACTGCCTCAGGATGGGACAATATTGCTATGAAAAAATAGACTTCAGAAAGGACAAAACTGCTTTCTCTCCACAAGACTTTCAAATTATCCATGGAAAAAGCTTTCCCAACTTTACTTACTCAGTAACTCATTATTGTACTATAGAACTACTTTCTGTAAGAAGCAATAGCTCCCACTCTGAAATTTATGCCACTATGTTTTTATTCTTTCCAGGCTAGGTTCACACTAAAAATAGCATTGTGAAACCCTTTCTAGTTGTATGTTAGACTTGTACATTCAGAGTAATGAAATTTCAGTAAACAATTAAAACACTTTTAGATAGTAATCTTAAAAATGTGTTCCTTCCTGCTATGGTTTAAATACCTCACTGCTCCGTTTAAGGAACAGAGTCCTGTGGCACCTTTAAGACTAACAGATGTATTGGAGCATAAGCTTTCGTGGGTGAATGCCCACTTCGTCGGCATTCATCTACATGCATCCGACGAAGTGGGCATTCACCCACGAAAGCTTAAACTCCAATATATCTGTTAGTCTTAAAGGTGCCACAGGACTCTGTTGCTTTTTACAGATCCAGACTAACACAGCTACCCCTCTGATACCTGCTCCGTTTAAATAACTTATTTGGAAGTGTATAGAATGCGGAGGTAGAAAGAGCAAAGATGTGAAACCACAGGATGAGTGTGTTGGAGATGTGAGGTGAGGGGATGTGTAGCTCTCTGTCTTATGCAGTGGGTGACTCTTCCATAACCAGTTGAACTGTGAAGTCTGTAAGGTCCCTCTGAGGCACACTTGCTCTTCCCTTCAGTCAAGGTCACTCAGCATGCTTCTCTCTGCATTTGTGCATCAACCTAGCCAGCTCCCGAAGGCTGATTGTCTCCATGGAGCAGCTCAGTCTCGTTTAATGAAATGGATTAAAAGGCTTGCAAGCATAAATTTGGATAGAGCTGCAGAAATCTAATTAGAGGCCCTCTGTGCTCATTGAAGCCTTCGCTGCAATGGAACAAACGACCAGGGTGTAGAAATGAGAATGTCAGAACAAAGGGAATGAAAAAGGATATTAGAGGGGTAGGATTACTTTGCCTTGATAAAGCTTATTAACTTGCATCTTCATTCTAAACACCAGGGTCCCATTTCAGCCTTTGAGGTCCTAAAAAAAATTACTGGAGAAAGCTGACAGACAGTCTTGGAGGCTGCAGTCCTTTAGCCACACAATAGGTACAGCCCAGAAAATATGGTACAAACTTTCCTCCATATTTTCCTTTACCAGTGTATCTCAGTCTTGAACTGGATTAACTACCTACAGTGCTAAGAAAAGATTTCGGTCTTCATGGTCCATGCGGTCTTAATGTCAATAGACAGGTCATCAAGATACTCCTTTTCAACTAATTGATATGTGTAAAAGCCAGAAAAGACCATTGTGTCTCTAATCTGATTATTTACGTAACATGGATTATAGAATTTCACCCAGTGATTTCTGCATTGAGCTAGAGCAGATCTTTTTAGAAGTCCATGATGAAGAATTCACCATGTCCCTTGGTAATCTGTTTCAGTGGTGAATTACCCTTTCATTAAAACATTGCATTTCTTTTCCATTTTGAACTTTGACTTCGGCTTCTAGCCACTGGATCATGTATGCCTTGGTCCACTAGTTTAAAGAGCCCTCTAATATTAGTTGCCTTCTCCCTGTGTAGGTAACTATAGACTGATAGAGTTGTCTCTTAAGTATCTCTTTGATAAGCTACATATATCAAGTTTCTCTCTAGCCTTTAATAGTAAACCAGGGTTTCTAGACCACATCCTTTTTTTAAAGTGGATACCATAACAGGACACTCTACTGCAGTAGTGGGCTCACCCATGCCATGTATAGAGGCAATATTACCTCCTACTTCTGAACCTCATTCCTGTGTTAATACATCCCAGTATTGTTAGCCCTTTTTGCGACAGCATTGCATAGGGAGGTCGTGTGCAGTTGGTTATCTACAATGACCCTCCACATATTTTTCAGAGACACTGCTTTCCAGAATACAATCTCACATCTTTCCCACTTTAGCCAAATTAATTGGGAGGGGGGAGAGAGGGAAGAGGAGACTTATGGGGGAGAAACATACATATGCATGCCAAGTAGCCTTTTCTAGCAGGGAAGAGAGAAGAGCAAATGACTCATGAATCCACTACTGGCTTTACAATGCAAACCTAAATTTATCTGATAGGTGCTTAAATATTACCATGATGATTGTATAGAAAACCCTTAAATAGATCGAGGCAGGAGGCTATGTATGATGGCATTATATGGATACTTACGTATTCAAAACTGGACTCAAATCTCTTATTCTGGTTAAAAAAAGAAGCCTTAAAATAGATAACAATTTCTTGTTACCAACAGACTGTCTGGATTTGTAAAATAAGGATAATGCTCACTTATCCCACAGGGATGGCAAGGCTGTGTTACAGTTTGCAAAGTAGTTTGAGATTCACTTGTGAACAGTTCATGTCAGCACAAAGTAACAGTGAAATGTACCAATGGCCACTGTATTATGCAATCTTCTGTCTCAAGAGTTCCTTACTTGTATATCCAAATGGACTGAATACAATTCTGCTCCATCTTGGCCAGCTGACCCACCTCCAGATTAACAGCTGATTTTATTGGTACTTTCAGTGGTTGTTTAAGATGGACTTCACTATTTTTGTTATTTGGATTGGTGATCTAGTGGTGAACACCTCTATCCACTGTCACTTAGGCCTAGCTCCTGAAAGATATTTAGGAGCTGAAGGTTGAAATCAATGGGAGCTATGTGCCTAAATATCTCAGGGATCTGGGCCTTAGTTCCCAGTCCACTCATCAATGTACTGGGGCTAATTCAAAACTTACTGTTTGATTTTTAGGATCATCACCCTTCCCAGCAGAACCAATGTGGGTTACATGGGATTTACTTGCGGGCCTTCTGTACAGGGCTCGATTCAGTGCTGCAGCCCTACCGACAGGCGTTGCTTGACCTGGAGCAGGAGGTAAGGGAGAGAAAACTGGAAGAAGCTGTGCTCTATTCAATGTTATGAGCTGAAATACTGTGCGGTGGGAACTTGTCTCTTCAGTAACAAATAAGCTAACAAGAAGCAGCCAAAGATGAGATGGAATCTTTCATTTCCAGTGCGGGGGTGTCTTCCAAATTGCTGCTGTGAGGTTCCACTGTAACCCACTGGTCAGTATGTTACATGTCCCCCTCTATGACTGATCCACTATGTCAGATCCACAGAGAATGCAAGTGTTTGAGTCCTCAGATTCAGATCCTTATTCTCTAGGTCAAGCTGTAGAGAGTCATGCTTATAGCTCTGAAGGTCCTCGGTTAAATCTGTGTTGTGTCAGCCAAGTTGGTAGGCGTCACACCATCTCTTGGGTAGATTCACTTTGAGTCAATGCCCAGTGATTGCATGGGCTGCTCACTCTCATCATAAGTAACAGCCTGAAGGGGGATATGATTCAAAAGTTTTAGTTGAAAAAATCTATGAGAGTTAAAGTTATCAGGACTTCTGAGGGTACAGTTTTGCTATTTACCTTTTTCCACCAAGGTTTAGTGCTACCGATTAGAGGCTTATTTTGGTTTGTACTAACTTTTCTGTTGTGGTTGCAGTTCCTGGCTGACCCTCACCTCTCCATCTCCCACATTAACTACTCCCTGGATCAGGTATGTTGCATTTGTTGTCATCTTACTACTGGTATATACAGCATGTGCAAGGTTGCAGAGCTACCATTGTTACTAAAACTTCAATTTCTGATGTTTGTACGCTTAAATTCCAAGCCTTAAAGTTGTATTAATGTCATCTTTAGCTTTTAATATGGTGTAGTTATACTTGTAAGAAATAGATTTTCCTTTCCAATGTCCACCTTCATGCAAAATTGAAATAGCTGGTAGCATGTATCACACTTCAGAAATGTTAGGAAAGCTACAGTCTGCACTTGACTTTAAGCAGCTCTAGCTTTCAGATTACAAACCAATTTGTTTTCTTTAATGACCTTTTCACCACAGAGTGCAGCTGTTGGGCTCATGTGCCTACCTATGTGGCTATGGAACCTTTTTGACTAGATGTCAGCTGGGGAGGCACACATCATTGCCTTGTCAGGGATATAATAGCTCCCCCTTTAACCATCCAACAGTTTCTCTCTGCCTTCAAAAGTCCCATTTAGAGTTTAGCTGCATCATACAGGGAAGCCAGTGCAGCTCTTCCTATCCTCAAATTAGAGTCTCCTAAATTTATCATCTTGAGAGACTTCAGTACCCACTTAAACAGCACTTCTAGCACATTGGCACAACTCATGTCATCCATGACAACCTTACTAAGTGACCAGAGAATCTCGGGATAAGCGTCACCTCCACTGTTCAGTCTAGTTGTTGACGTTAAGGTAGAGTAACATCACCAGTATCCTGGTATAATCATCATCTCATCTCTGCAGAAGCCTTGGTCTCTCTTCCAGGGACATCCAGAACACTAAGTGGGGCCAGTGAGGTGATAGAGTGATAAACCACCACAACCAGCTGCTGTCCATACTAGCCCCTAAATGCCCCATCCCTACATATCGCTACTTAGAAGCCTATTTTTACATGTTGGTCCTTGCTTTGCAGTTCCAACTCCTCTTCCCCTCGGTGATGGTTGTGGTGGAGCAGATCAAGACCCAGAAGGTATAGTAAATGGGAGCTGGTTTCTCTATAGCAAAATCTGTTGTTCCCATCCATTCCCTTTAGTTAAAATTGCATGATGGTGTAAATGACACTAGATGTTTGACAGAGCTTGTAGGAGATAAGTAGATGGGGCTTCTCAGGAAACATTTGCTTTCCTTTTCAGAGTTTATATCTTCCTCCTGAAGACTGCATGGTTCAGGCCAGGGAAGGTTTTTGAGGATCAGCAAGAACGAGGCACTGGAGTGGTCAGAACCATCCATATGTGCTCCCTGTGTATGGGGCAGATTATCTATTTACTGGCGATGGATTGGTTTTTCACTATGTCAGTGAGGCACCTTGGACATTGCTCATTTGGTGTCACTTACATAAATAGATGGAGAGACTAAGGCAGAAAAATTGTATGGTGGAGGTAGCTCAGCAGCATGAAGCTCGTGCACTGATATCAAATTCCCTTATTTTCCCCTTTGTAATTTACAGAAGATGGGGGCGGAGGTGAGCTGGCAAGGCTGTAATTGCAGCTGGTGGGAATGGAAGGTTGTGCATTTCTGTGGTTGGGGAAAGAGATTCTGAGACAGGTTTGAATGGAGAAACAAAGGGAAAGGTTTGGAGCAAGGATGGAAGCAGATGAGTTTGGGGAGTGGGACTGCAGAGAGCCTTTGTCTTTGATCACATTTAATTCACAGTAGAAAAGTATGGAGCACATTTGCCACCTTTATTGTGTGTTGGTGACTGGGATTTCTTTTTCTTGAGTCTTATAAATCCCAAAGACAAGGCAGGAGAAGCAGGATTTCTGACTTCACAATCCATTAAATGTCCTCTAGCCAGTAACGGGGTTATGGGAGAACTTGTGTGTTGAAGTCCACAAGTCTGCTGGACCCTTATGTGGGGTGTGGGAGGAAGGTATATAAGAACATGTGAATGGCCATCCTGGGCCAGACCAAAGGTCCATCTAGCCCAGTATCCTGTCTTTCGACAATAGCCAATGCCAGGTGTCCCAGAGGCAATGAACAGAACAGGTAATCATCAAGTGATCCATCCCCTGTTGCCCATTCCCAGCTCCTGGCAAACAGAGGCTAGGGACACCATCCCTGCCCATCCTGGCTAATAGCCATTGATCGACCTATCCTCCATGAAATTATCTAGCTCTTTTTTGAACCCTGTTATAGTCTTGGCCTTCACAACATCCTCTGTCAAGGAGTTCCACAGGTTGATTGTGCAAAGCGTGAAAAAATACTTCCTTTTGTTTCTTTTAAACCTGCTGCCTATTAATTTCATTTGGTGACCCCTAGTTCTTGTGTTATGAGAAGGAGTAAATAACACTTCCTTATTTACTTTCTCCACACCAGTCATGATTTTATAGACCTCTCTCATATCCCCCCCGAGTCATCTCTTTTCCAAGCCGAAAAGTCCCAATCTTATTACTCTCTCCTCATATGGGAGCTGTTCCATTCCCCTAATCATTTTTTTGTCCTTTTCTGAACCTTTTCCAATTCCAATATATCTTTTTTTGAGATGGGGCAACCACATCTGCACGCAGTATTCAAGATGTGGGTGTACCATGGATTTATATAGAGACAATATGATATTTTCTGTCTTCATATCTATCTCTTTCTTAATGATTCCCAGTATTGTTTGCTTTTTTGACTGCTGCTGCACATTGAGTGGATGTTTTCAGAGAACTATCCACAATGACTCAAAGATCTCTTTCTTGAGTGGTAACAGCTAATTTAGTCCCCATCATTTTACATGTATAGTTGGGATTATGTTTTCCAATGTGCATTACTTTGCATTTATCAACATTGAATTTCATCTGCCATTTTGTTGCTCAGTCACCCAGTTTTGAGAGTCTTTTGTGTAACTTTTTACAGTCTGCCTGGGACTTAACTATCTTGAGTAGTTTTGTATCATCTGCAAATTTTACTACCTCACTGTTTACCTCTTATTCCAGATAATTTATGACGATGTTGAATAGGACTGGGCCCAGTACAGATCTCTGGGGGACACCACTATTTACCACTCTCCATTTTGAAAACTTGACCATTTATTCCTACCCTTTGTTTCCTATTTTTTAACCAATTACCAATCCATGAGAGGACCTTCCCTCTTATCCCATGACAGCTTACTTTGCTTAAGAGCCTTTGGTGAGGGACCTTGTAAAAGGCTTTCTGAAAATCTAAATACACTATATCCATTGGATCCCCTTTGTCTACATGCTTGTCGACCCCCTCAAAGAATTCTAGTAGATTGGTGAGGCATGATTTTCCTTTATAAAAACCATGTTGACTCTTCCCCAACAAATTACGTTCATCTATGTGTCTGACAATTTTGTTCTTTACTATAGTTTCAACCAGTGTGCCTGGTACTGAAGTCAGACTCACCCCCTATAATTGCCGGGGTTACCGCTGGAGCCCTTTTAAAAAATTGGCGTCATATTAGCTATCCTCCAGTCATTTGCTACAGAAGCTGATTTAAATGATAGGTTACAGCAATGGTTCTCAAACTTTTGTACTGGTGACCCCTTTCACATAGCAAGCCTCTGTGTGACCCCCCTTTTAACTTAAGAACACTTCTTTACATATTTAACCCCATTATAAATGCTGGAGGCAAAGTGAGGTTTGGGGTGGAGGCTGACAGCTCGTGACCCACCATGTAATAACCTTGTGACCCCCCTAAGGGGTCCCGACCCCCAGTTTGAGAACCCCTGGGTTACAGACTACAGTTAGTAGTCCTGCAATTTCACATTTGAGTTCCTTCAGAACTTTTGGGTGAATACCATCTGGTCCTGGTGACTTATTATTGTTTAGTTTATCAATTTGTTACAAAACCTCCTCTGACACCTCAGTCTGAGACAGTTCCTCAGATTTGTCATCTAAAGATAATGGCACAGGTTTGGGAATCACCCTTCTCATCCTCAACCGTGACGATCAATGCAAAGAATTCATTTAGTTTCTCCGCAATGGGCTTATCGTACTTGAGTGCTCCTTTAGCATCTCGATCATCCAGTGGCCCCACTGTTTGTTTAGCAGGCTTCCTGCTTCTGATGTAGTTAAACAAAATTTGCTATGACTTTTTGAGTCTTTGGCTAGCTATTCTTCAAATTCTTTTTTGGCCTTCCTAATTATATTTTTACACTTCATTTGCCAGAATTTATGCTCCTTTCTATTTTCCTCACTAAGATTTAACTTCCACTTTTTAAAGGATGCCTTTTTGCCTCTCACTGCTTCTCTTACTTTGTTGTTTAGCCACAGTGGCTCTTTTTTGGTTCTCTTCCTATGTTGTTTAATTTGGGGTATACATTTAAGTTGAGCCTCTATTATGGTGTCTTTAAAAAGTTTCCATGCAGATTGCAGGGATTTTACTTTTGGTGCTGTACCTTTTAGTTTCTGTTTAGTTAACCGCCTCATTTTTATGTAGTTTCCCTTTCTGAAATTAAATGCTACAGTGTTGAGTCACCGTGGTGTTTTCCCTGCTACGGGGATGTTAAATTTAATTATATTATGGTCACTATTACCAAGAGCTATATTCACCTCTTGGACCTGATCCTGTGCTCCACTTAGGACTAAATCAAGAATTGCCTCTCCTCTGGTGGGTTCCAGGACTAGCTGCTCCAAGAGGCAGTCATTTAAGGTGTCAAGAAACTTTGTTTCTGCATCCCGTCCTGAGGTGACCTGTACCCAGTCAATATGGGGATAGTTGAAATCCCTCATTATTATTGAGTTTTTTATGTTAATAGCCTCTTCATCTCCCTGAGCATTTCACAGTCACTAACACCATCCTGGTCAGGTGGTCGGTAATATATTCCTACTGCTATATCCTTATTATTCAAGCATGGAATTACTATCCATATTTCCCCTTCCTTCCAGTTCTCACTGGGACCCATTTCCCTTGCACCGTGCACCATTTCCCATATCATTGCAAAGCCTTCTTTGTACATTCAGCTGTAAATGTAGCATTTGAACATCTGAAACTTCGGTATAGAATCAAGTGAAGATTTCTCACTGCAAATCCAGTTTGACCACTTTGTTTCTTCTGCAGATTCATGGCTGTCAACTCCTGGAGACTGTCCATAAACACAGCTGTGGGGGGCTGCCCCCTGTGCGTAGTGCACTGGAAAAGTAAGGAGATTTACTAATACTACTAGGTTTCAGAGTAGCAGCCGTGTTAGTCTGTATCCGCAAAAAGAAGAACAGGAGTACTTGTGGCACCTTAGAGACTAACAAATTTATTAGAGCATAAGCTTTCGTGGACTACAGCCCACTTCTTCGGATGCATATAGAATGGAACATATATTGAGGAGATATATATACACACAGTTGACCTCTGGTCATTCAATGACAGACCTGC